AAAATGAGGCTTAAAGAGTTGTAGCTATATTAAAGAAGAATTATGATAAAAGTGCTTTCACTAATAGAAATCCTAAAAGGGTGTAAGAGAGAGTACTGATAGAAGTTGTAGGTTTGAATAAAATTATATTAAAGCTAATAACCAAGATTATATATGACTTTAATAAGCACATTCCATTAAATTCTAATGTCTTACAGATATTCAATTATCAAACAAGATTTGATTGGAAAAATTAAAATTTATGTTTATTATATATAAATGGGGGGAAGGTTAAGGTATGAGCCTAATATAATAAATTCAAACAATTGAAGAATTATAAAACAAACAGGAAGGAAAGGATTATATTATTTTTAGAATATAATTTCGCACTACAAATAGTAATAAATATTAACAAAAATAAATTATGTTGATAAATTAACTAAACATTATAATTTTTTTAATAATCAATCGAAATAGATTATCCGAAGAACAATTATCAAAAGTAAATATTAGTCGAACATTCATGCTTGATATATAGGATAAAATCCTTTAATTATAATGTTAGATAAAAATTTCTCTCAGAAAAATAAATTACTTTTATGTAAGTAATAATTATTAAATAATCTTTATATATGATCAAATAACTAAGGTGAAAGTAAGATTCAAAAATGGAGTATGATAAGAGTTTTGTTGAGTCCTTTCATATTTAATTTCTTGTTGAACTGCCTTATAAATTGGAAAAAGAAATAAATAAAGGAAACAATAAACTCCCACCAAAAATGATAAAAAGGGGAAACTCTTTGAAGCTGTGTAGATCATGGCATATATTAATCATGTAATGATGATTTTCTATTCAATACACTCTATTCATTAATAGGCCATTAGTTTATTCTTAAGATGATCATGAATATCAAAATCTAAATATCTTCTACTTGTAAAAATACTCTAACTAACTCCTAATGTCTTTTTAAAGCTATAAATTGATTACATAGCTGTTCTTTGTAAGAAATTTTTTTAGAAATTGAAGTTAATAATTAGATTATTAATCCTATTGATACGCGAAACTTTTTAAGAAAATTATCAAAGCTAAACTTATTAATCACATGTAATTTTTAATTCACAGAAGCATGTTGAATATTTTCATTATCTATAAATCTAGAAATTTCGAATACTAGATTCTATTATATTTATAGAAATTCTTGGTTTAATAGTTATCTTTTTGTATATGTTTGGTCTTCATCTCACAAAATAAAATCTATTTTGCGAAGGTCAATAAATTTACCTTTTTTCTAGCTGGCTAACTTGAAAATAATCAAGGATAAATGTGGATTATAAGATCATTTTTTAATTTTTTAAATTGAAACTATTATATCTATCTTCATATTTACTTTCAAGGTGGCTGAAACACTTACTGTGATCTCTGCTTAGTTCTTGATATGTCTCTTTTCAAATTCACCTTAGAAATTTCCAATTTAACTCTTAGTTATAAGGTATTCAAATAGTCCCTATTAAATTATTAACATCGCAATCTAAATTCTTTTATAATAGGAGATTTGAAGCTCAACAGTTAAAAAAGGTGAAATCGATCCATTAACAATTAACTAAAAGTTCAAAAATATCCATCCTTGATTTTCAATTATTATAACTCTATTTAGTACAAATTAATTGACAGGTTATTGGGAATAAAGATTTTGGATAGTAAAGAGATACTTGATCGAAAGCAAGGTAATTACAAGAAACTATATAAAAACACCTGCATATCGAAATCTTTAAGTTATTTTAAAACATTAAAATCTGATTTAAAAATCCATTTTACATCATAAGTGTTACATGTTATTATTGCTATTTCTAATCAATAGGCTTTTCTGATCGATAAACTGTAGCAATAGCTCCAGACGCTAATATATCTCCTATGCAGTATTCGATATTTTGATATTTTATATCTCTGTCTTCTTGAGATACTTGCACCCTCCAATCATTGAGATTTCTATTAAAATGGTACTATGAATTTATATATATTAATAAAATTAATTTCTTTAATCACTATTTCATTGATCATAAATTAAAATTTTTGTAAAATAATAGCAAATAGAAATAATTAGATCAAAAGAGTAATCATTTCATTTTCTTACGTTGAATTATTCTATTTTTAAAAACAAAGTGCTTCCATTTTATTATGATAATTACAAATTTTGATTTCCAAATGTTGATTTAGTTCCAATATAATCATTACATTTTTAAGCATTTCCGTATCCTAATTAATAATTATCTCCCTTTTTGAAATTTTAACTAATATGATTTGGAGATACTTATTGCCTATTATTTTTCGAGCTTGTTATAAATTAGTTGCAATTTTAAGGGTAATATGATACATTTTATTGTTACTAAACTAAGATTTCATTGTTTCTATTATTGAACGGATTAGGCGTTTTGAAAAAATTTTAATTAGATTCAATAATTTACTGTTTTGGGGATAGATTATCCAATTATCAAATTTTGAATTCCTGTTAATTTTTCTTATATTATTAAATTTATTTTTTATTCTTTTTAATTTTAAGGG